GTGATGACAGCGGCTATATGTGCGGGCGGGGCCGTGCGCGTGTCATCACACGTCATCTGCCGTAAAGGCGTGAATAAAGGTTTCTTCAGCCAGGACACGCGAGGGCGTGATATCCCATACTTATGTGTTGTACCTCGTTCCTCTCCTTCAGGGAACAGAAGTTATAGACATAACTAATCGTTTCTCTTAGGTTCTCGGAAACAGCATCAGAGTGAGCGCTCTGTCATGGCGGCTACTCTGTCAGCTGCTCGGTTCTCAGAAACTGCGTCAGAGTGAAACCTCTATCCTGTCTCTTCCTCTGTGTCAGCTGCTGCGTCTCCTCCTCCGCTAGCTTAGCCTGCTAGCTCGCAGCAGCAGGGAAGGTAAACATGGCTATGTCGCAGGCTCTGTCCGAGGAGGAGTTCCATCGGATGCAGGTGAGAAAAACTACGGCGATTGTTCTTTTGGTGTGTAGGTGTCAGTGTGGTGAAAAACACCTGTGCGGTGCAGCATCACTGCCAGGGGCGTTTGCCCAGTCTGCTAATCGTGAGCCGTTGCTAGGTGGGAGCGGTTAGAACGGCTAGCTCGGCTGACATTATTCATTTAACGTTGGCAGGAAGGTAACGGGCAGACAGAGCTTTGACATGCCTCCGGGCGATATACTTAAGAAGGGGAGGAAGCAGACACAATGAGAGAGAGCTCAGTTCAACACTTAGCCTAGCTTACACCCCCCCTGTAAAGAAAAGCACAGCGTAGCATTTTTGGTGCTAACCGTTATTTCTATCTGACAGCGGGCTAACATGTTAGCATTCACGGGACTCTCGCCCTGCTGAGAGTCACGGGGTCCTAGGCAAGCTGCCGTGGGCTCCTCTGTATCGGAGACAGGGCCGGGAAGCGCAAACACCTGTTAACATACTAACCACTGACCTCCCCGACTACTTTAATAGGACTGTTGTTCTCTGTTGTTGCACGAAGTGTAAGAACAGGAATCTTGACTGTCTTCACACATGGTAAACAGCAGTAGGGAAGAGTTCAAATATATTTACCACAAAAAAGCCGTTAATACAGCTGTTATACTGTAGTAAACGCATTTTTTATTTCTTTAAATGCAGCTGTAAGGCCCCTCTGGGGCAGTAAGGTGGGTCCCCTCAGAACGTCATGCTGTTTATGAAATATTTAGGAAGAAAGATCTTTCTAAAAGATGGAGGTAGCCACTGGTGTCAGCAGCTGGTTTTGGACTTTTGTAACTGTCATTGTTGTGTTTTTTTTGGTGTCAGCAGTGAGTGTATTTAGGCAAGTGAATAGAGTGCTCTATAATGAGCATAAACAGCATTTTGGGTGGGTGTAGCTGCCATGATGTCACCCGTTGGTTTGCGAAGTCCTGCTACAAAGCTTCAAGATCAGGGTGTTTAATGTCGCCCTCTTGAAACTGGATATCTGGGATGGATCCGACTATGAATCCACTTGTGTTAAGTGCTTCAGTTGAAGGCAGCTGGACTTCTTGGTTCATGAAGACATTTCATCTCTCATCTCAGGGGCATCTTCAGCTCTGAAACCTGATAGGGGTCCCAGGTATTTAACTCTTTGGGGAGGGGTGGGACCACCTGTGCATCACCAGCGGTTATTTTGCCTCTTGCTGACATTCATTGATCTCTGGTCACCATGCTGCTGCTTGTTACAGTAATCAGTCTATTTACATGTTAGATTTGTTTTTAAAAAGATGAATAAGCTCATCTTCAGTTGACCTACTGGCCAATCAAAAACACAACATAATTCATGCAGTTTCTAAGTAAAGCCGGTCATAAATTAATACTGGTGTGTGTGTGTGTGTGTGTGTATCCTTGTGCAGGCCCAGCTGTTGGAGCTGCGGACGCAGAACTACCAGCTGTCTGATGATCTCAGGAAGAACACGGCAGGTAAAACCTTTCACTCTTTGTCCTTCTTGTTCCTGCTGTTTCATCTCATCAACACTTGAAATGACCACAAGCACACGAGAGGCTCTTTAAAGCAACAGAATTTTTAAAAACACGGATTAGAAGACCCACAGCATAAAACCAGTTTTCCTGCTCCACCTGAGCAGTTTTTGTCCAGGTGAAAGTTTTATTAAAATTCTTTTTCGAGAGCGACCTTGCCAACGGGGCAGCAGACATTATAAGAGACATTAGAGGACAAGTGCAAATGTCACACAGTGCATGAGAGAGAACACAACATTGAGATTATATGAAATATAAAATAAAAGGTCAAGGTCAAAATGACTTCAAACTCATTTTGTTGCAAGTTTCAGAGAAACCACACTGACCGAGAAGCTTTTGTCTCAGGGTTTACAAGTGACTGATGCAAACTGTTAACTGTGGGGCGGTTTACGACCGTTTCAGGTCCGTCTGCATATTATTCCAGGAAAACAGGACCGGATAGATGAATCTTTGTTTGTGTAGAAAGGGCTGGGATTAGCTGGATTTTAAAAAGTCATAAAATAAACGTGTAGTTGGAAACACTGTAAGGCCAGAGGAGGATTTTGGTGTAGTTACCTTGGAGCCGTCCTGTGTAAAATGAATCAGTGCCTTGAGTAATAGGCCCTCAAGACTGCACAGATCTGGGTCAAAAACTTCTGGCCTTATTTTGCCAGCATTTTTAAGCCCTCATAGGTCCATGAGTACAAGGATATCCACAAATTTCAGATTTAAAAGACACATTTACATGGCTGGACAAAAAAAGAAGACAGCATATGTAGGTAGAAAGGTCTTCTTTCCACCTACATTTTGATATCAGGCTCATCTCTAGCCACAATTCCTTCTAGGACGTAATCATTCTGTAATATAGTCATGGTATGAAGGTAAAATTTCCATGGCTTTGTTGAATACACGGAGGGGCTCAGGTGGGAAGCATTTTAAGTGGAATGGTCCAATAATCATAGTGATGGTATTTTTATTTCTGTCCCACTTTTTAAAATGTACATATTCATACAAAATAAATTGCACACAGATAAGTGTGTACATATCACAGCATAGCCTGCATGAAAGCAAGCAGGGTCCTTCACTAGAATAAAATAACACAACATGAGACGGTCTACGAAAACGCAAACCTACAGGAGGGAATCTGCCCCCAGCCCCCTGACATTCACTGATACAAGCAGGCTTTAAATGCAGTCGATGTACAGACTCCACTTCAGCTAACGAACATGAAATCATTCATCGGATAAATATTTGATTGGCCCATGTTAGCAGTAAAACTTTAATGAAGAGGAAACGTGTGTTTTCTATAATTAAATGTCGTCCTGGTGCATTTCAGAGCTGAATGCCGTCCGTCAGAAGAATGTGGTTTTGGAAAGAGATTTTGTCAAAACACAGAAGGTAACGAACACTTTATTACTATGTAGTTGTTTTTGTAGATGAGTGATTGGAAAAAAATAACCTGCTGACCTGAATTTGGGGGTTTATTTTCTAACAAAGCTGAGCGAAGAGTTTTCCTCATCTCTTCATGTTGTTGATTTACATTAAATGTTTTTCTGCTTTTCTTCTTTTCAGGCCTTGACTAAGAGTAAGAAAGCTCAGGTAAGCTGTTGTTTGATGATAATTGTTACCTCAGTGAATTTCTAGAGTAAACATTTTTCAATTATGTCCTTTCAATTGTTCCTTATTTTGTCATTGTTAATGCTTTATGGCTTCCTTATTATGCTAACACAATCACCAATAATCTGCTTATTGGAGGTTATTTCTGTAACTGAGACAAACTGCAGTGCAAACATCGCGTCTTCTTGTACCGTCGCATCCCAGGAGCTGTTTAAGCTCTGCTTCTCTGGTGAAAGCTGTAATGTTTAAAGGTCATTCAGGCAATAGGTGAACTGGAAGTGCATCAGAAAAATAAGAGTTTAGTTTTTGGCCGTGTGTCATTTCTCTGTTCTGAAGAAAACCTGAAGTACGACTGAACTGTGGTTTTAAAGTTTGTGTTTATTCTCACCTGGTGCTGACGTCTTCTCTATTTTTGGCACTGTAGTGTTTTCACCGAAAATGTTAATTCACTCTGACTGCAACATGTTCCACTAGCTTTCTGTCGCATTGTTTGGCACAGACACCCAATCACCCGCCACTGTTTGGATGGTTTAGTTGCAAAGAAATGACAGAGATATAACAATATGTCACAATACTACATCACGAAAGTTTGGTCAGTCTGTCTGTGTGAGTGATCTCAGTTGGAGTTTCTGTAACCTGCAGTCAGCTTTTTATTCTGAATGTATTATTTTGTGTGTTATTTCTCTGTGTGTAGGAGGTGGATGCTTTGCTGAGTGAGAATGAGATGCTTCAGGGGAAACTCCACAGTCAGGAGGAAGATTTCAGACTACAGAACAGCACACTGATGGCTGAACTCTCCAAGGTGAGTCTGAGTGTTTGTGTGTAGTTCAGACACTGTAGAAGCTTCATATCATTATTGTGATCTTAACATTATAACATTTATTTTTCCAGCTGTGTACACAGATCGAGCAGCTGGAGCAGGAGAATCAGTGCCTGAAGAAGGAAGGAGGAGCAGCCTCTGCATCCAGCCCCCCACCTAACCCTGCATCCAGCCCCGTGGATGGAGAACTGCTCCGCCTCCAAGCAGAAAACTCCACCCTCCAGAAGAAAATGAAGGGTGAGGTGACATTTAAAAGGTGGAGCTCTATCATCTCTGCAGTTTTAGAGGCTCATATTTTAATATTTTTTTCACATAAAAATCGTCCTGAAGGTGTGTAGAGCCAAAGACAAGTAAAGGAAAAATATCACGATCTGACAGTTTATCTTCAGGTGTCGAGCTGATATTCGCCCACCTGTGTTCTCTCTCTCTCTTCCTGCATCAGCAGCAGTGTATTTAAAGACTCTGACACGCAGTAAGCAGTGTTGGGGGTGGATAGAGCTCCTTTAACTCCCCACAGCGTCGTATTCTGTGCAGTTCAGGAGACAGACAGAGGCTACTGTTGTTTTTCGGCATATAAGTATTAATTTTCACAGGTTTAGAATTCATCATTTAAAAAAATGTAATCATAAACCTTCCTGACACGTTACAATATAAACTCAACTCTTCGTCCACAGAATTCCTTTATCATTAAACATTTGCTGACATATGCAAACATTAGTCATTTTCGTCTGCTGCCCTCAGTTTTAACTGACCAGTGATTTTTGAGGAAATTAGGTAATTTTGAAAGGAGAAGTGTTGTATGAAACAAAACCCCAAACAGGACTCAGAGAAGGATGCTAGAAACTAGGCTGATGAGACGAGCTTGTATAAATCTGTACGGATGGAGAAACGGCACATGTGTTAGCAGGGTGTAATTAGCTGGGTATATTGTGTACTGATGACTGAAGGTATGGACAAAAACATTGTCATCATACTCATGAATTCTTAATGTTCTCACTGTGAGAGTTAACTTGTGTGTGTTGGGGAACCAACAAGTAAAGTTGGTTTAGAGTTATTACTTGTGCCTGGTTATTTATTTCCCTTTTTGAAGGTTTTAATACATTTTCATGTAAAAAGTTATGAAGCTAACCTGGGCGCAGTGACCGCCGCGCTTGTAGTACAGCTGTGGAAACCTTGTGATTCCTGTTAGTCCTTCATGAAATGAATGAATGACTGAATGAATGATGTGAGCTGCAATTCTCCTCCAGCCCTGCAGGAGCGCTTCGACAAGGAGCTGCAGAGACAGGCGTCCGTTCAGGGCACCCACAGTGCGACCACAGAGACTGACGGATCAGCAGGTACCAATGGAGTCTCTGATGTCACAGGGACAGGGGAGGAGTCATTGCCAGGAGGATCCAATGAGAGACTGGAACAGGTGATTGGAAGTCAAAGACACAGCCGATGCAGCATGTTTGTGATATTTTCAGCCATCGAAGATGATGCGTTCAGATGAAATATATTCTTTGACCAAAAATCCAAAATCCTCAAATATTAAGTTTACAGTTTAGATATGATGAAGAAGGTGCTTTAATCTTTTTAAGTTGAAATCTTGTTTCAACTTTAGTGCGAGTCACCTGATGTAGTGCTGCTGGACTAGAGTTTACTGAGTGCTTCTAATATTTTGTCCCGTCACGTGTGCTCATGTTATAGCACACTATACTGTAATAAGTAGGTTTTTTTCCCTTGTCTGTTTTTCAGGCGGAGCCTGAGCTGCGGCAGACGGAGAAACAGCTACACGGTGAGTTTACAGTTCGCTCTTTTGCTCACACGGTGTTTCCACTCAGAGGAATAACTCCTGTTCTTTCATGTGGTAATTAGTAACTTCCTGAAGAATAGCATTTAAAATATATGCTGTTTATTACATAATTAAAGACTAAAGTATTGAAATGGTGTCTGTCTCACTGTAAGTACTTTTATTGCCCTGAAAAAATGACCATGACGTACTTATAGAAGACAGGAAGCTCAATGAACCGTATGAGCTTCACATGCAGAGACAGGATTTATCCTCCACAGTGGGTTACACTGAGCTTTGCTTTCTGCCTCCACTTAACATAAACCTCGAAACATAAACACTGGATTTTGATGTCAAATGGAGTTTTGAGTTACAGAGAGAATTTTCTGATGGTATTCAGGGTTTTTCTTGCAGTTGGCAGCCCCCGTGCAACAGGACCTTAATCTGTTTTACTGAACGTTCTAATTGTTGGAGCCTCTCAGCTTTGAGCACACTGGCTCTAAAAACACTTGAGTGTTTTTTCCCTGTCTTGGTAGTAATGAAGGTGCCTGAACAGCAGTGTGATTCACTGATGTGTCTTTGAAGCAGCAGTGAGCTCTGAGTTGATAGATTTATTTTCTATCTGCACAGGGGGTTTGTTGACAAGAAGAATAATGCTGAATATCACAAGATTTTAGGTGTAACATGTGGGCTTTAGCGTTTGAGCTATCTTTATTTCTGTGCTCATTACCACATTACATGCAAACTAACTGTATCAACATGCTGCACGAAGATGATCAAAATGGTTTTATTTTGTGTGTGAATGGATCTGACAGCTCAGACTTTAATACGGTCATCTTCATGCAGCGAGCTTTATAAACCGATTTACACCTGAAGCCAGCAGCTGAAAGGAAAACAGTCTAAAACCTGATCGCCACGCTGGTCTGAAGAAAAGCTTTAATCTGTCAAGCTTACAAACGCACGCTGTGTTTTAACAGCCGTCTTTTAGTTTGAATTTTGGGCTTCTGTAAGGTGAACCCACAGCTGGCTTTATAGGTGCAGAGCAGCTAGCTGGCTCAGGGCAGACACACACTACAAGCTGAAGCAGGGAAAAACAACGAAATCTGTTAGGAAGCCGCAGATTAATTAGGCTTTAATGTGGATATAACAGCTGAGGCTGCTTGAGCAGGTATTCCCTGTTAGAGCTGCAGAGCCAAACTCATTTCCACCTGTTATAAATAAAATCTTTGTTTTTGGCAGTCACTCCTGCAGTCTCTGCACTTTATGGAGACGCTCAGAGAATTTCTTGTAATATGAACAAGTGATTATTAATTTCAATACATAATTAGTGTGAGACAATCATACTGAAAATGGTAAAAAATAGCTGTATTTTGCAGCAGCCTGTGAGTCAAAGTTACCACTGGTTATTTTTCTGGTAACATATAAGTGAAGTGAAGAAATGTTGCGCTGCTGTTCTCTGTTTTGAGCAATGTTGGATGACACCGCCTCTCTACAAACAAATGGACCTGAAAGTGAAAACCTGCAGAGTTCATATAAGCATGCTGTCAGTGAACGCAAACTCACAAGATGCAGCAGTTGATGTTTGACTTTGCAGCTCACCCGGAAAATCCTGGGCTCCGACTCTGTCTGCCTCCTCCAGAGATTAAAAACAAAACAAAAGAAAAACCCAACCTCTCAGACGGCGTGTAAAGTGAGGAGCTGGTGTAGTGTGTGTCTGGCCTAACGGACTGCCCCTGCTGTGTGCGGCGCCCCCTTTAGGCCTGTCAGAGAAGAGCGTAGAGAAGATTGTAGCTAAGCAGGCAGCGCTAGGCTGGTCGGCTGCTCTCTGTCCAATAACTCACTGCTTTGGACCAGAGCTGGAGATGGCCCTGAACACCGAGCAGGAGGAGAAGAGGCTGCTGAAGGAGCAGATCCACACCCTGGAGGTACACATGCACACAACAAACACAAAAAACACATTTGCACTCACATATATCAGAGTAAGTTCTACTCGAGTACTTCCTTTATATATTTACTTCACTAAAAGTCTAAAGTGATAAAAAACTTTCCCCAGAGTAATGCTTTCAAATTCCCAAGAAAAAAAATTCCAACTAAAACTACTTAAAATGAACTGTTTTACTCTGTAAAATCGAAATGAGCAAACCAAAGTCAGGTCATAATTTCCTGTTTTATTGTCCAATGTTTGTGTAGGACATGTGCAGAAGTGTAACTCAGCGTTAGTTCACCTTCACTTGTGTTTCTTCTGAGAAGTACATGGATGCTTACACAAGGAGGCTGCTCCAACACTGCGGGCTCGATTAGTACACTGGATCATGTTTACCAGAAATAACTTTGAAGTAACAATCAATAATTATTGTTCGATAATACCTTAGCAAGCTAATTTTAGGTAGCATCCCACACTGAGGCAAACAAACATGTTTTTGATGGATTTAGCTGAGAGTGAACTCGTAAAATTTCTCCTCCTGAGTTTTTGGCTTTGAAACAACACAAAAATATGACGTCTCAGTCTGTGGACGTCTGCTGCTGGACTCCATAAGCTCCACGTGTGGACTGGTTCAGTATTTTCTCTGGTTCTGCAGTCTCAAATGAGAATATTCACAGATGAACGTATTGACGTATTGTATGGAACGTATCGTATTTCCAGGCCGATCACAGCAGATCATCGGATCAAATTTTAAAATTGATTCCATTCTGCAGTAAACGGCATATGAACAGGAATAACGTTTAAATATTAGACAACATTATAGAATATTACAGTAACATCTACTTCTTCTTTTTCATACTGCTTCTTTGTGGTGTAATGTTGCTCGATCTGTTGTGTAATTAACTTCCACTTATCCAAAAAGCCCAAAGAATAAAAAAGTCTAAATGTTGGCAGATGAAACAGTTGTATGTCGTGAGTGAGAGAGGAAACTAATTAATTCATGACAGGAACATAAACGGCAGATGGAGAGCAGCGGTGAAATGTCAGCGTGACTAACGGACGACTGTGTCCTTTCCTCAGTGTTCACCCGCTGATGGAAACACTGAGGCTTTTTATGGGAAACATGCCTGAAGATGATTGTGATTTCTTGACCTTTAAATTGGTTGAACATTACGGGTTTGACAAATGAGTACTAAGGAGGAGGGGACAAAACATCTCGAGTGGTAAATGGTCTGTATTTGTAAAGCGCTTTTACTTGGTCCTAAGGACCCAAAGCGCTTTACACAATCATCCACACATTCACACACTGGTGATGTGTAGCCACAGCCACCCTGGGGCGCACTGACAGAGGCGAGGCTGCCAGACACTGGCGCCACCGGGCCCTCTGACCACCAGTAGGCAACGGGTGAAGTGTCTTGCCCAAGGACACAACGACCGAGACTGTTGGAGCCGGGGCTCGAACCGGCAACCTTCCGATTACAAGACGAACTCCCAACTCTTGAGCCACGATCAAGAGTGTTCGTGCTGTAAACCAAAACAGCTAAAACGCTGTGTGCTGCCCCTGTTTGAGTCCAGCTTTGAATTTGAATGCTTGAAAGTATTTAAACAGAAGAGCTACAGTGTGCATTTCAAATGAGCCAGCAGGCACAGCTGACAATTTGAGCCAAAGTCACAAGTCTGCTGTTAACGTGTCATTAAATTAGGTTTCTGTTTTTACTTTTTGATTTTGAAAACTGCTGCTAGCTCTGTCAGGGTCACCCACACTAGAAATGATTTTTGTTTGGTGGATGATGACTGTGTGATTGATACGTGAACCCTGAGCTTGGACAGAAGGCTGCACTTCTCATAGCCTTTGTTTCCACATCATATAAACACGTTTCTGCTGTGAATATGTGAACTGTATTTCTTTTGGAAAGTCATTTGTGAATATTTGCTGCAGGATTATCTGTTTAACCAGAGTTATTAAAGTTTTAAACCTGGGCCTTATTTTCATATCACCTTGATGGTAGAATTGTTAATGGGAGCAAATGAATCTGAAAGAGCTGCTTGTAATCCCAAAAGGCTCAAAGATTTTTGGAAAAACTTATCGTGATGCTGCAAACTGAGTTTCTTTGTGTTCGGACTTCCAAGAACCAAAACTCTGACTGCAGTTACCGTCGTTGGTCTAGGAACAGACGAGACATCCATTCAGAGGAGCAATAAGTTCACTTTGATTAATAAAAGTTAAGGAAATGTAATTCAGAGCAATACTTTTTAGACTCTTTGGACATTAGCCTGCATCGGTGTACTTAATAAAGTGGGGAGGATCTATAAAGTGAGCACTGAGCATGCTGTAAGTGTAAGTGTCTCTCTCCTCAGTTGACTGAACGTTTGCTTTCTGTCTGCCTCCAGGCGTCCAAACAGGCTGAAATCACCAAACTGCAGGAAGAAATAACAAAGGTAAATCTTCTCAGGGCTGACAACACACAACCACTGTGTAATAGAGATTTATTTTGCAGTAACTATGCCAGTGAGCTGATATTGGCTATTAAAGGTGCAGCTTTTTAATGCTGTTTCCGTCTCTTTGTCCTGCAGCTGTCTGACAAGCTAAAGAAGAAGCAGGAGAGGTGAGATGACCTAACCGCAGTCACATTCACAGCTTTTTGACACAGTTATCAGCCAGTAATGTAGCAGCAGTGCTGTATAAACTGCTTCAGGCGTGGCTCAGTTCACTTAACCTTCACAGCAGCTGGATATTGTAGGTAGAACACCCTGCAGTACTAGAGAGAGAGAAGCCCAGCCAAGTAAGAAATGAATAAGTCTTAAACTGTGAATCAAAGCTAGAGTAGAGGTGAAGATTTAAAGAATATATATCCCGGTCTGGAAACAGATTCACCATCATGTTAATCTGTTCTGGGCAACTAAACGAAAGCTTATGTTGTTGTTCTCCTGCAGTTTCCAGCGTCTGCAGACAGAAAAGGAGGCTCTGTACAACGACAGCAGGTCAGGACTGCCGGCACCCCGCTGCTCTTACTGCCACTAGTGTATTGACGGCTCTAATGTCCACGGTTCAGGGTGTCTGCTTTTTTTCCCCCTTTAAATGTGCTGCTTGTTGTGGAAATGTTGACCTTTTGTGGTTTTGATTCTCTGCAGGACAAAGATCGATGAGATCAACCAAAGAAAAGAAGAAGAGCTGAAGGCCATGAATATCCGTGTCCAGAAACTACAGACGGACCTCATGGCAGCCAATCAGGTTCGATCTCGCTAAGAAATCGCACCAGTCCATTACTATGTACATTCCCCCAGCTCCTCTATGATTCTTTCCCCAGTCAGGGTAATGTCTTACAAGGAAAAGTAACCATGTTGGAATTATTTATGTACACCGATAAAGGTTTACAAAAAACTAAACACAGGGAGTCTTGCTCGATGTTGTGTGGTGTAAGTTTAACCACTGAAAACAAACAAAGCACTTTCTATCTGAAATGAATTTTTTTATGTGCAGATTGTTGAAAAATGGGCCGTGTCAGCCCATCATCAGTCATCCTCTAGGTGTGATAAACACATAATCTGTGTTAATACCAGCTCTGGGTACTACAGCCCATAGAGGGCGCTAAAGCACGTGATAGATGTGTCAAAAGTACAAAATATTCCATATTCCTGGTTAAGTGATGACGTATGAATCCTGCTACCTCGTCCGAGCTCCTACATTCATTAAGGCTGTTGTCTGTTTAACATGTTGTGATGTGTTGTATCTTGTTGTCTTTAATATAATCCACCTCTCTGGCTTTTTGTTAGCACCATTCATGTGCAGCACATCTTTAAGCTCAGTTTTTAAAAATGGATGGATGGATGGTAACTGTGCTACATGGGCTCACAGTTTGCCAAACACCAAATAACTAAGCTCTACAGAAAACTGTCCTTCTGAGGCTAACTAAGAGTTCAGTGGGGACATGAAGCTGAGGAGCAGGAATTGTTCATAACGAGTAATCCAAACCACGCAGCAGCATATTATTGACTAACCTGGTGTTGTGGATGGATCATCACAGATGTTCTCTTGACTGAAGTTGGGTCCTCTTTTAGTGCTTTTTTCCTGTCTTATGATTTCATTTGTCTCTGTCCATCTGGGACCACCACAATAGCTTTTATTGAGGGGCAAACTTTAATGTTCATCCTCCATCTTGGCTGTGTTAATGTGTTTATATTATCCTAGCTATAGCTCTGTAGCTAGATACCAACTAGCCCAGCGTTAATGACACCACAGATATTGCTGCTGTTTAGTTTTCTTCAGTTATGTCTGAAGTGAAAGCAGAACAACACTTTTGGGTCTTATCTAACAAAGAAAAGAATCAGTGAGCTGCTGAGATAATTACACAGTGAAGAAAGTTTGGACTTGTTTAAGAACACACCATGTCTTCATTGTTTGGACTTTATGTTTTTTTTAACTGACAGAAACTCTTAAAAATCAGACTTTGTATCATGAATTGTAGTTCATGTCTGTGGCTGACGTCTGTTGAACACCTTTGGGTGTTATTGGAGAATCTGAATCAGACTGAATCCGTTGGACACACTGAATAATTAAAACATGCATTAATAAAACATACATGCTGTTTTTCATTTAAACGTGACGTCACATTTTCTGTACGAGTCCAAAAACAAAAAAACGTTGAATTCCAAAGTTTGCACACTTCACATGTCATTGTGAACATAGTGAAAGAGTCTCTTTCTGTTCGTTTTTCTCCTCTGTAACGATCATTTCACCCTCGTTATGAACTTTGACTTTTTACTTTATAAACGAATCATTTGTGTTTGTGCGTTTTCTTGTTCAGACGGTGTCAGAGCTGAGAGAGCAGCTACAGAGCAAAGAGAAGGAACATGAGGTGGCTCTGCACACACTGAAGGACGAGGTAATGCATGCGTGCACACACACACACACTCTGAGTCAGAGATCGTGAATCCTGCCACAGACAGGCAGACTTCTGAACATATTTCCATGTCTCAGGCGCAGCAGGAGTGCAGTAAAACACACACATATAAAGACGTGACGGCACTCTTATTTAGATATTTGTCCACATCCAAATTCTGCACACACATATTAGAATAGTTTTCTTTTTCTTTTTTTTAAATTGAAGAGGATAAGGTTGAGGGAAAAGGGGACAAGGGAGGAAACAGTGTGAAGGTTGTAGGAGTTTGATTAAAGCTGACTGTTTTCGGTTCTTTCACTTCTCTGTGAAGCTGCTTCTCTGCCAAAGTGATATAAATGTTTAAAAAGGATCCGTTTTCACCAAAAACAGGTTTTTAAAATGAAGGAAATGAAATGAGAGATGGTGGGATGGAGAAAGCTCCTTAATACAGATGATTTTTTCTTAATAAAGTACAAATATGTTTTGGAATATCACTCTGGTAGTGGAACTGGTACTTCTGTGTGTTTCTGAACTGCTTTATCCTTCTCTAATCCTCGACTCTGTTCTTTCTGTCATCTTTGTCATTTAAAATTTCTTTACCTGTACACTCTTACGTTTGTGTGTGTTCTTTTTGTTTTGTTTACCTCCTATATTGCCTTTGTTTTTCTCGCTTTCTTTATTTGCTCTTTACTGGTTTCTTTCCCATCTTATCTTTTCCCCTCTGGCGCCCCCTGCTGGTGGTTTGGTGCAACTGCAGGTAGCCAGTCAGAGTGCAGTCAGTCAGGAACAGGTGGACAACATCCTGCAGGAGAACGATGCTCTGAGGACAAACCTAGCTGCTCTAGAACAGGTAATAAACGTTACACAGCATGGAGAGAGTTAACGCCACTAACTTAGTGGCCATGAAACCCGGAGAACCCCTCATAAGCATGACGTCATCTCTGAGCACTAACCCAGCTACTTTTAACATGTAATAAAACTGATGAACAGTACCATAACCCTGACAGTACATCATCTCTGTGTACTAGAGAAACTGACAAGAACGTTACACTGACCAATGAGGAAAAAGTCATTAATACCTCAAAGACCATCACGCTGCTGCTAATCACACAACAGTTACCTGATCCCAGTTGTTGCTTTAGAAAGAAATGACAAAAATGTGTCAAGTGGAAAAATAAATTCACATTACTGTGATTGTCTGCAGCACCTGGACTTGGACCATGCTAACACAAAGCAAGTAGTTAAAGATCAGAGCCGTGCGAACCAAGCAGCTGAAGCTTTTTAAAGGTTAAGAAAAATCTACAAAATATTAGCATCTTACAAAAAAGAGGAAATTTTGCTTATTAGAATGACCTGCTGTTACAAGAATTACTTGTAATCGACTTGTTCCATATATATATGTGTATATGTATAATATGGAACACTGGATCAGGCTGTGTTAATGCAAAGAAAAGCGTGTCATGCTCCGCGCATTCAGCTTCAGCTGTTTAATAGCTTCATTTACTGGTTACAGGTTAAAGACAGACAGCCCAATCAGAAAGAAGTTTAATGTTTTATATAATTCTGACCTCAAAACGCTGGTTTGAACCACTTACTGTTTTTTGTAATTGATGTCATTTCACTTGAGGTTTTGTAAATCTGACCCTGAACAGGATCATCCAGAACACTTTACTCACACACTATCAAACTGTAACTCACCTTGTAGGAGAACAGTGCTCTGGGGACTGATCTGTGCACGCTTGACCTTAGATGAGAGCCCTCATCTAGGACCCTAACCTTAGCTTGTTTTTCTGGACTAATGTGACTCTTGAAAACTAAACTACATACTGCTGCACCGAGTGCTAACAACAGAACACTTTAGAGAGGCTTACATTAAATCTTTTGTGCAAGTGTAAAATTCAAAGCGCTTGCAGGAAACTAGATGATAGATCTGTGAGGGCTGCCTAACTAATGATGGTAGGTGGAGTTAATCTAGAATAGCTTTTTTAGAGAGAGTATCTAGAACCTGTTTGTTTATTGTAGCAGCTGTCTTTAATGTCAGTGTGGAACACGTGTTGCAGGAGAACAGTGCTCTGAGGACTAATCTGTGCGCTCTTGAACAGGTAATTATTTCCTGACTCCTCATGTAGAGTTTAGCATTAGATTGAGGTCCTGAAATGAACTTTGATTCCTAGAATCTTTTCCAGAGGCTTTTTTAAAGATTGATCCCCTTAAAAATAAAATAACATGACTGTGTATGCTGAGTAGAATGTGTTGATGTCCTGAACCAGAAGCCTAAGTAGAGTGACTGGTTACGGTGACTGAGATTAGTTGGTTGGAGCTCCTCAAAGTAATCACGATGATCAGTTTTTCCTGCTTTCCAGCAGGTTCCTGCTTTAATTCTGATTTATGTGATGAAAATGTTGATGCTGGAGGAGGTCAGTAACCTCAGCTGTAGCTCATTAGGGTTCACATCCATGCTCCATGTTGCTTTCTTTGTTTGTGTCTAGCAAGATATATATTTGATGAAATGTACGACCTTTGGCCTGATTAGATCTGTTCGTGTTGTTCTTTGTCGTCATTCTGAAACACTTTATTTTGGAGAATAAATCAGGAACCAACTGTGTGATATGTTAGGTTTTCAGGTTACTTGGAGGGCAACATCTTCACCTTTTGATGTCTTAAATGCTTTTTAGAAAGAAAAACTCTAAATAGTGTTTGATTTTTCAGTCAGACTTTTTCCACCCAAATCCCAGGACGTGGAGAAATACTTTTTCAAAGTAAAAGTTGCATATTCGGATGGCATACTGTTGGGCCTCAGAGGTAAAGATTAGGCCTTTTGCCATTGTCCATGACATAGACCTCACCGGATTATTCATACAAATACAAAATTTTTACTTAAGTATAATTTGTGTCCTGTGACTCTTGTTTGTGTCGTCATAAACTAAAGAAAAGGTCTCATGATCATCATTGGTGTTTACGTTGGCACTTTTCGTCACGTCCATAAGAAACTGCAGGACTGAGTTGGTGCACTTGTTGTTCATAAACGAGTAACAAGTTGAAAATAGTTGAGCTTTAAAAAATCGCTGCACTCCTCAGTGTCACCACTTTAACTAAAAAAAATAAGAAGGGGCGGGATTTATGATGTCCGTACCGTCAGTGAACAAACACTGTCGCTGACGACAGTCCTGAACACTGGCGAGCATGGTTTCATGAGCCAGCAACAGTTAAAGTGCTCTGATGTTCCACGTTAGCCTCAAACTGAAAGATTGATTTAGAACGGAAAATTGCAAAGAACAGTTAAGACGGTGAAATCATTAAGTCCGATACAAAACGCACTGTAGGATTAAATACGTTCTTAAACTTAGAAACCTGGACTCAGGAGACGCTCCAAATGCTTCATCCTCTGTTCTCAGACGAAACAATCCATGTGCTGACTTACACAAATCTTTGTGTGGTTTGTAAAGCCAAAGTATACATTTACACTCTTCTCACTTAAAGTCACTGTGCTGTACACGTGAATATTCTGACTAGAAATCAAAATAACACAAAAACATTTTTCTCCCAGGAACTTTGTCATGGTAGTAAAATGTTTTTTGTGTTTCCTCTGAGACCTACACACACACACACACACACACACACACACACACACTGATGTTCACACCAAACCTGGCCGTGTGGAGCTGTGCTGCTTTAGAACATGAGAGCATGACTGCTGTCAAAGAAACTGGAAATTAAAATGTATTTATCAGATTCACTGCTTTGGGTCTTACTAATGCCGGCTAGTTCGCTCTCTGAACTGGACAATGTTATGTTTAAAAAACTGAAATGAATGTTTTGAAGTACCTTACAGTAAGCAAACGGATTTTTGGAAATCACCACCAGTTTAATCAGAATTAGTAGCTGAAAATTGCAGCTAGGCTGCTACCAATCAGAAGTGTGCAGTGGCACAAACTCTAGAGTCTGCTTATTCAGCCATTACCGTGGTGGCTCCAAAGCGTGTAATCCTACAGCCTGAAGGGATATAAAAGAGGGTCAGCTGATGTGGGCGACCTATAGAGATGGACCTCCGACATGGATCTATATGTAGATAAATGATCTGTGTGTGGGGGTTCATGCCATTGTTATACCTAAAAGGCCAAATGATTTAATGCTACAACTTACATCTTATTTAACCTGTGGTCATTTACTGTTCTCTGCTTCATCTTAATCATCTGTCGTCGTCATTCTTTTCTATCTAATATTTTCTGGCAGTTGTTATCTGTCCAGGACATTCTTGTACATGTACGTGTTTAAGTTGGACAGGTACTGCAAAGAGTTGTTCAGGAATTAAAGTGAACACTGTAAAGAGAAATAAAGTGTTTGAAATGTGTTTGTAGATCCAGACGGTGAAGACGCAGGAAATGAACCTGTTGCGAGAGCAGCAGGAGGCGCTGACGGGCGAACTGCAGCAGAGACGAACTGAACAGGAGAATCTGCTGGCTCAGAGGGATGACCTCAACTCCCAGCTGCAGGTAGATTAAACAGTGGTTTGTTTAACCTTTGGGTTTTATCTCAGCTCGTTCTGCCGATATAAACGACTCTCCAGCTGTTTGTTTACACGTGGCTTTCTGCTTCTCTCACTTTACGTCCTTCAGGAGTCGAGTTTTGCCAACAGGAAGTTGTTGGAGCAGTTAACCGAAGAAGGACAAGAGAAGGATAGACTGCTGAGAGAGCTGGACGAGGCTAAGAAGGTACACACATAAACAACAACAACACACAGAGTGCCACATGGTGTCTGTACACAAACCAGCTGAACCAGTAAACACACTTACACCTGTTTGTGTGTGAGCAGACAGCAGAGAAGAGGAAGGCCATGCTGGATGAGATGGCCATGCAGCTGAACCAGGAAAAGTCTGACCACAAGGAGGCGCTGTCAGACCTCAAACTGCAGCACGAGAAAGAGGCGAGTGGTGATGGATCTGCTGCTTTTAATGGCTTTTATCCATCACAGTTTTCATGTCTTCTTTGTTTGGTTTCTCTATATAGTTTCTTTGCTTTGAATTATCGCTGATCTGTTTTTGTTTGTGTGGTTTTTAGTTTTTAAAATGTGCAAAAATAAAGAAAAGCCACAAATTTTCATCAGATTTATCATCCTTTTTGCTTTTGTCTCTTCTCTGTATTCCCTGACTCATTTTCTTCTTCTGTCTCCTCCTCTCTTTCAGGTTCTTGCAGTGAGGGCTCGATACGAGAAGGAGCTCAGAGGACTTCATGAAGACAAGAATCGCTCTGAGGAAGAAATCCGACAGCAGCTTAGAGATGAAAAGGTAAAGAGGCACGCAGGAGGTGAAAGTGGGTAAGGAGACAAAAGAAAACTCCTGATGTGTGTCTTCCAGATGTCTCGTATAACACGAGCAGCAGAGTCGTTATCGCACAAGTTCACGATACGCTTTGTGAGTTTTCAGGCTCGGACGAAGGAGCTGGAGGGTTTACAGCCCCGAGTGGAGGAGCTGCTGAGTCAGGTCCAGTCCATGGAGGGAGCCAAAGGATGGTTCGAGAGACGGCTCAAAGAGGCTGAGGTCAGTATCTGCTGAGTGCTGGCTGGTCACCCTATAAACCAGCGGTACTTTTCCGCCAATTCGTCCTCCGTCCTCCGTCCTCGTCGAGTTTGCACATTTGCATCATTATTTTAAAGTGAAAATGCCAACATTTACAGTTTTTAGCTTCTCGGCTGAGCAGATTCTGAGTTCCTTTGATTCCAAGTGTTCCTCTGTGACTGACTGTACTTTATCTGTCTGCTGATGCGAGCAGGAGAATATAGAGAAGAACAATCTGCAACATCAGGAGGAAATCAAGCAGCTGTGGAAAGAACACAAACTTCAGCTGGAGGTACACACACACACACACACACACACACACACACACTTTCATTTCGTTTTATTTAATCAGGTAAAGGTGTCACTGAGAAGAGTAATGTGTTTTCTGTGAGCACAGAATGAAAGCCGGTGTTATAAGAACAAAAGCAGACAACAGACGATGACTGTCACACTTGATGAGATTACACACATTAAAGCGAGCACAGAAACATTGATTAACAGATCCTGTAGAAGTGACTTAAACTCAGCAGCAGTAATCAGCTCTGACAGTTTCACCTCCGTCTCTACTTCGCCTCAGGAAAAAGATGCTGAAAAGATGCCGAGACTGTCTTCACTCAAAGAAGCGACATCTATAAAATGTTATGTTCAGCACAGTTGAGGAAGATCATCTTGGGGTGGAGTTACAAACATGTATAAAAGTCACTCGATTGAAATGACGGACAAGAAAAGCTCCTTATATCCAACCGTTACACCTTTGACAGGCGTTAGGTCAATTTTCAGGCACTGTGTCAGTTTTTCTGTTTATCATCAGTAAACTGTGTTTTATCATAACCCACTGCATAACCGTTCCTTTGCATAACATTACGTTTCCTCCTGTAGCCTGTCTGGTAGAATAATCATGTCTCTCTAAACTCCAAATGGAGGATTTGTAACAAGAAAAGTAATGAATACAGTGAGCTGTGTTTAACATTTTGCTCCATTTGCATTTATTTTATCTAATCAGTTGAACTCCTCGACTAAACTGCTGAGCAGTAATGTGGATGAGATGATATCAAACCCAAACTGCCTGCTGCACACCTGTGAACTATAAAAATACAATTTCCCATCTTAGTAGTTATTATGGATATTTTCTTCTAGGAGATATTGTGCTATTTATCCCAGCGTGTTGGTCTCACGGACCCAGAATACACACACCATGTATGCAACGGTTTTAAACTGGATTCCTGTGTGCATACGTGCAGTGATTGGCCTCCTGCATTAGTGCACAGCCTGTAGTAAGACAGTCGCTTCAATCACTTCACAGCGATGTCGCAAACCTGCTGTTCAGTTACGGAGATCTGACGGGCTTCAGAGGTTTGAAATGCAGATACAACTGCAGAGCCGGGCTGAGCTAAACCTGCTCTCTGAGACACACAGCAGTGGTGCATCAGAGAACCGTGCAATGATTTGTGTGATTGCTTCCCAGCATGCACTGGGACAGAGGATTTATCATAATTTTTCATGTGTTAGTGTGCTCTGTAGTGTTTCCACAAGTGATGCTTTCCTCTGCATGAAACATTGATAATCTGGTGAGACATATGCAGTTTAATTAATGACTCGTGCTAATCAGCACACATTTAATTTGTCAGAGAATCGGTTACATTTCTGTGCAGAATGAGATGAAATGATACTGAATCTGTAGCTGGTTTAATAGTAATTCACTTTAGTTCAGTCTTATTTATATAGTAAAGCTCCAATTCACAACAGCAGTCATGTCAAGGTGCTTTAGTTAGATTAAGAAGCCTGAACTCCAATATAGGAGAGAAGACCCCATCAGTCAGACCAACCTCTATGAGCAAGCCCCAGCAGAACCAGGCTCAGGGCTGGGCAGCCATGTACTATGATCAGTCAAGCGGTGAGGGGGAAAACAGGAACAAAAGGGATAGAAAGCTGAGAACAAAATATAAACTACAGGAGAGAAAAGGCACAAGATGAGGGCTTGCAGTAGTGGGATATAATATCCATGGAGAGTGGATGTGGAGAAAAGTGCTAAGTGTTTCTTGGGCCATGAGCAGGACTAAGGGATGGTTGAGGGTCAGCTGATCCAGCCCTACCTAAAGGTTTTATCAAAAAGGAAGGTTTGACGCCTGTTTCTGAAAAGTCGAGAGAATCTCGTCTCCCAAATGTACAGGAACAACTGAAGGCTCTGCCTCCATCCAGCACAGGCAAGGCTGCAGTCTGAGAGCAATGTGATGTGAGATGGTGGCGCTTGATCATTCATGACTTTGTATGTGAGAAGAAGTATTGTAAATTAAATTCTGGATCTAACAGGAAGCCAATAAAGATGAGCTAATGCAGGAGAAATATGATCTCTCTTTCTGGTTCCTGTCAGTACTCAGACTGTGGCCTTTCTGATCAACTGAAATCTTTCAGGGAGCTTTGGAAAGGCCTGCTGATAAGAATTGTAGTATTTCAGCCTAGAAAAATCAAATGCATGGACTATTTTTTCAGTAATTGTGACCTCTTAACAGTTGCACTTTTGAAGCTTCTACGGAGGCTTGAAATCATTTCTGAATGTTAAACTGCAGCTCAGGTGAAGACGGAGCATCCGCGTCCAGAACAAGACGTTTCAGAAGGCGTCTCTATAAATATCAACACTTGTGTGCGTGTGTGTAGACAGGCACACAGTGCGTGTAGGCATGTGCGTTTGTGTGTGCGCTCTAATTGAAAACGTTTCTAATTAAAGCGTAGTTGTCTCCATGGTAACTTGGAGAGGTTAAGCTGTGTTAACAGCCGATCAGAGTGGAGGCGGCTCATGTGAACGCTGACAGTCTGCTGCAGACACCCTGAACGCTTCACGCCATCTGTCAGCAGGACGGAGTTCAGCTTGTTGTTTAGCGCCGTGATTCTCGTTTCCACACTGACCCGTCGTCGTCGTGCACTCACAGCACAAAGACGAGGCTTTGTTTACAGCGTGCGACGAGTGGATACCGCTCGACGCGGTGGTGTTTGTTTCCAGTCTTGAAGCTGATTGATTTTGTTTGCAGTGTTTACAGACATCTCTGTTGTGAAACGAGGATGGATGGAGGGTGCTTTTTGGACCGCGCTGCTGTAATTGGTCACTGTGACACACTGTCAGTATTAAGAAGCACTGGATTAGCTCTGTCAACACTGTTTCTAGAAGAGTTTTGTAAATGAAATGGCTCCACTAAACAGACAAAAGATGCTGAGATTTTTAAACGTTGCAGATGTTTGTTGTTATTGATGTAAAGTGATGTGATGGGCCGCCAGGCTGCGTACAAGTTCAAATAATCCAAACATAAACACTAAATGTAATTTGCAGCTAAAACAAAGGCTGAAAGGAGAGTGCTTGCCACCTGCTCTGATTCCTGCAGTGGATATAAACACACTTAGTGTACAGAACTCCACAAAGACTAACTGAAAGGAGTGAAGACCCAAATATTAACACAGTCTGATTGTGGCTACAGCTTGTGGAGATACAGAAATGCTGCCATATAATCTGCATCATTATAACTGCATTAATAACATTCTTTACAGCATTATTTCATCTAATAATATTTCTCACAGTATTGATATTGCATTACAGTTGTTTATTGAAGATGTCCATTTGAGGATCCTTCCACTATGTTAACAGAAGTATTTCATACACATTGCATATTTGTGCTTATTTCGAGTTGATGTTCGGTTCATTAAGGGTCTTAAGCTTCACTGGC